ATTGTTGGAATAAGCTTGAAAGAAACTTGAAGTGCAAGTTTCCTAATCTTAATCAAAGTGTGTTTCTAGAAGATTAGGATTAGAAAAAGAAATTTAGGAGTTATCTAAAAGGAAATTTAGGAGTTATCTAAAAGGAAATTTGTTTATCTATTGGAATTAGGAGTTAGCTAATTCATTCTCTATATAAGGAGTTGCAGAGTTTTTGCAAACACTTATGAGTTGAGAGAGAGAGATTTGAGAGCCTTTAGTTTTTGAGTGATTTTTCTAAAGGAAATAAAAGAAGTTGATTTTCTTAATTCTTGATCTAAGTTTCAATTCTATAGTTTAGGCAGCCGGATTTTCAGCTCATCGTAAGTGATTGTGCTGCTTTGATCGGTCTCTCTATTAGCAAACATGGTTTTAAGACCTTTAATGTCCTTTTCAGAGAGACTCTCTGGAATGACCTGCAAAACAAAATCAGGAAATACAACCAGTGATGAGCTAGGAAAACTAAAAGAGCTAGAATGCGTACTTGCAGAAGAAAAGATTATGGTTTTGCCTTAAGAGCTAGCTTCTTAAGTTTGTTCATTGCTCGGAATTGCTTCATACGAGATAACACAACGCTATCAAAAGGCTTGTCCGGAGCTTCTCCACCTCTGATCCAAGGATGTTCTATGAAAAACACATTGCAAAGTATGTTAATTACACAATCGCACTTAATGTTTTGGTTAGTAGACTAATCTTGAAGAGACTAAATTGCAATATTCGTTTGCAAATTCATTTAAATTTGTTTCTTAATTTTTAAATTTAATAGTCTTATAATTAATTTGATAAATAATGTTCTTAATTTATAGATAATCATCAACTACAGACATCGTTTACATATATTAATTTAATTATCTATAAAATACTCATGCATATGTTTAAATTTTTGAACCTGGACGTATATCCAGATTTAAAATTTTTGTATTTAGTTCGATTCAAAAAATTAGGGTGATATCTGAATATTTTCTAGTCATATCGAAGGGTATTAGAGATTTTTTGTCACTCCTAATTTCTTGGCAACAGAGTTAAAGCGAGGATGAGATTTCCAGAGAAGATTGATGTCTTTGCTGTGAACTCATCAATTCTTGATAAAGAGACATGGACTTCTTCCTTGAATTTGCTTCTGCTCTTCCTTGCCCTTTCCTTCTTAGACTAGAAAACCCAAAACGGATTTTTCCGCAATTCACTTTCAGTCAATGAAGACTATAGAGTCAATGTTTTATTATCATTTTATTATAATTATCCAATGGGAAGTTTGGATAATCTCACTCTCGCTCCCTTTCCTATGCTTTCCCTTATTCATTCAAATATCTATTATATTAAAACAGAAGCACATTTAGTACTTGCTTCCAAACACTCCCAAATTTTTTTTAAATATATTTTGAGAAACAGTTTTAAAATTATCCTAAATTATTGTAATATTATTTGAAAATATATTTTTTTATATATAAAAAAAATCCGAAAATTAGATATGAATTTAGATAACTAAAGATTTCCTTAAATATAGGTCATATTTAATTTAAAATTCAAACTATTTTTTTAATTAAATTTAATTCTAAAAAATGATATTAATTTAAATTATTTTATACTTCTTTAATTATAGATCAGATTTAATTTAACATTTAAAAATTTAAATAATATTTTTAGAAAAACAAATATGATTAAAAGAATATCTTATTGTATTTTTTAATCATATTCAATCAGAGTAAAATTTCACATATTGAAAACTAATAAATATTAATATTATATAGTAATTTGATGGGGTGGATTAGTTTTTTTTATAATTGCAGTCTTATATTCAAAACATACAAGATATTAAGATAAATATTATTTCAAAATTAGTAAATAATTATATTATATAGTAATATGACAGACGGGTTATAATTATGGTTTTGTAACTAAAGTTTTTTTGGATTAATAGAATGAGTGAGTTAAAAATATACTTTTATAATAACGATTTTTTTCGATTAATAGAATGATCGGGTTAGAATTATGTTTTTATGATCCTGGTTATAATATAGTAGAAAAAATTAAAAAATAAATTATATCTAAACACAAAAATAAATCTTTGTCATTTATTAAAAAATTATATCTATAAAGAAAACATAAATAACATTATAAATTTTGATTAAAAAATTTTTCTGTGCGAATGCACGGAGTAAAATCTAGTTATTTTTTAAATCTAAATGAAAAATTACAAATTGCTTTTCCTGATAAATTTGGGAAAATTGGGACGTGAATGGGACAGAACGGGTTACCGTTCTTAAAATGTTCAGGCCTACTCTTTAATTGTAGTATTTTCTTAACCACCGAAACAGTCAGTCATATAAACAGTATATACGATTGAAATGTTTTTATTCATTTCAATAACAAAATATATGAAATTGCAATTAAAAAGATGAAAGAAATTCCATTTCATTTAATAAGTAAAAAAAAAAAAAATTTGTTTTCACCACTAAAACATTTTAATAGATCCATTTATACTCTAACTTGGGCACTTCTTTACCATGTGTGAAGTAAATCCCATCTTCTCTTGCATCCCAAAAATTTTGCTTACCATGATCAAATACGCCACTTTCACCTTCAAATGCCCTAATATTTGCATGGTACTTGTGTTCTCCACGTCCTTGCCGTAAGACACAATCAATTTTGTTCTTGGACAACAATTTACCATGAAAACTATAATCGAAGGTTTGTCCAGGATGCAAATACATGCTATGTAGTCGTTCTTTGTTGAATTTACAGAAAATGTCGAGTCTTTTGTTTAGATCAAGAGAGTTTTTAAAATGTATGGAGTTTTTAGCCCACAATCTCGTGTTACCCAACCCAACACACAGTGCTATGATAAACAAAAAGTACGAGCGACGATTCAACATTTTTGATTAATCAATGTGTTTTTTTTTGTTAGAGGTAATATATATATATATATATGTACAGATTTATAATGTGTACATATATAGCTCTAACAAAATAAATGCATTATGCAAAAATTAAGAAACCCTTAATCTGATGGTGATCAAAGTGATTTTTGTTTCGTCCTTCTATATATATATTTTTTACTTTTTAATTTAGATTTCAATCACACTAAAAATGTAAGAAATTAATACAAAATCCCATTTTATTATTTGTCTATATAACTTTTCTTGTTTTACTTGACCTAAAAATGCTTTATTATTACAAACAAACAAAAATAAGATAAAGCTATAGCAAAAAAGACAAATTTGTGGCTATATACCTTCTGTAATCAAATTTTGGGAAGCTTAACTTTGTAGCAATGTCATTATGTCAATCATATTTTGCCCTTCGGTATAATAAAATATGTTTGTCACAATTTTGTATTTTACAAAACCTTCCATTCTCTATATCTTCTTCGAATTTAAACGGATCTGAGTGATTTCAAGTCCATTCCACTTGATTTGTTTTTAGCTCCACATATTGTCCATAACCCACTCTCGATCAGTGAAATTACGTACACCTATTTTACATTCAATTCAAAAAAAAAAAAAAAAAAGAAATTACGTACACCTTTCTCTAATTTTCAGTTCAGAAATCTTGAGAAAATTTATAACTCGTTTCAATCTCCTAAATCAAAAATTCATGGTATATATGAGAAAAGGATAATCAAATTTGATTGTGTTGATCATTTGATCATTTTTATTACTATAGATCCTTTCCTGAGAAGTTCTTCAATTAGGAGACTATGCACGTGGAATTCAAATGCATTTTATCTTACAAATTATTTTTTATATGTCTATATTAAACCCCTAAACCCCTCGTAATATGCATGTGGAATCGATGTGTCTTGATTGTGTCACGTAGAGATTTTTTTTCTGTATCACGTTTTAGAGAGGAGAAGATTCTGGATTTATCAAAACCTGCCAAGTTTTTGTGGATTTGTAATTATAAATCGAAGCTTATACATGAGGATTGTCCTGTTTCGTGCAGGTTTACATGATGTTTTTTTAAGAGTTTTTTTTTATAATTAAGTTATGATTTGGGGACCTAGAAAGAGCCGGGTTTAGGGGTTTAGTAAGAATTTTGATTTGGAGTTTGAATTTATGTCCAAATTCTCTCTTTAATATTTTGGTGTTCCTAATATGTTAAAACAATAATATTACACCGAGTAACTATCTTTTTTGTTAGGTTGTGGTGAGGTGTTGGACACGCCATGACTCTTATTGGCTGACGAGCCCTAATCGATAGGTGTCGGCAGAGATGACCGCTTATGCATCGGGTGTTGCGTGTGCTCGATATGCACCATAGGACCAGTGCAGGAATAATTGTCTCGATGTGGTAATGATTTTGGAGAGACTAAAAGATATTTTCCGTTTATTTTCGTTCGTCTATTGCTTTTATGACATTTTACTGTGATATTGATCAGGTTTTGTGTTGTTCAAGTTTAAAGGTAAATTTATGTATATGTTTTGGATTCTATCCTTAGAAATGAAATAACATTTAGGATATGTTTTGTGAGATAATTTAATATCTTCCACATGACATCTTAGTTAAGTAAGAAGTGGGTGTCACATCAGCCATAAAAAGATTAGGCTCCAAATGCGCTCATTTTCTTTCTCATTGATAGACATCTGTTTAACGATTTGTCACATCTTCTGTCTCGTGTATGAGAAGATTATACTATGTCGCTCTCAAGGTTTAACCATTCCTAGTTTATTTAACTCTATTTTTTTGTGGTGATTTGGGTCAGCCATTAACTTATCATTCCTTTAATGTGTTTTGTAAACTCTTTCCATTTAATAAATATATAAGCTAATCTCGTGGTTCATATATTAAACCAATGTAATCAAGTAGGTGATCAGCTCACATCGTTACTTATTTCTTTTAACATCTTTCGCTTCTAATATTTTGTTTTTTTGCATTTGTTTATTACGTCCATTTTTTTTTTTTTTTAATGTCTACGTCCATGCCTTCACTAATCACTATTAAAAAAGGGTCACCTAGTTGGAGAAGGTAAAGAAGATTTAGCAGACTCTTGTTGTTGGAGATGGAAGCGTCTCTGACTCATGTGATGCTCGTATCATTCCCAGGACAAGGTCACATAAACCCTCTTCTTCGTCTCGGAAAGCTCATAGCCTCCAAAGGCTTAATCGTCACATTTGTTACCACAGAGGAACCATTTGGCAAGAAGATGCGTCAAGCCAACGAGATTCAAGACGGCATGCTCAAACCCATCGCTTCGGGTTTCCTAAGGCTCGAGTTCTTCGACAATGGATACGACTACGAGGACATCAAGAAAAAAGCCGAGTCTGGTTTGTTAAAAACACAACTCGAAGTTGCTGGAAAACGAGAGATCAAGAAACTCATCAAGAAATACGAGGAGGAGAAACAACCAGTGAGGTGTATTATAAACAACGCTTTTGTGCCTTGGGTATGTGACGTGGCCGAAGAGACTCAAATCCCTTCGGCTATTCTTTGGGTCCAGTCTTGCGCTTGCTTCGCCGCCTATTACTATTACCACCACCGGCTAGTTGAGTTTCCGACCAAAACAGAACCGGAGATTAACGTTGAAGTACCCTTCAGGCCATCAAAGTTGAGGCACGACGAGATCCCGAGCTTTCTCCACCCTTCCTCTCACTGTCCTATAGTGGGTGAAATCATTTTAGAACAGATCAAGCGACTTCACAAGCCTTTCTCTGTTCTCATCATCGACACGTTTCAAGAACTGGAAAGAGACATCATCGACTACATGTCACGTCTCTGCCCTCAACTCATCATCAACCCCATCGGTCCACTCTTCAAGATGGCTCATGCCATAAGCTCTGACATTAAGGGAAACACCTCCGAGCACGTGGATGAATCCATTGAGTGGCTTGACTCTAGAAAGCCATCCTCTGACGTTGTTTACATCTCCTTTGGTACTGTGGTTCGCTTGAAGCAAGAGCAGATTGACGAGATCGCTCACGGTCTTCTCAACTCCGGATTGTCATTTTTATGGGCTCTGCGGCCTCCCATGGAAGGTTATAACGAAGAACCATATGTTTTGCCTCGAGAGCTTGGTGAGAAAGGGAAGATCGTTGAATGGTGTCCACAAGAGAGAGTGTTGGCTCATCCTGCGGTTGCTTGCTTCTTAAGTCACTGCGGATGGAACTCGACAATGGAGGCTTTGTCTTCTGGAGTTCCCGTGGTTTGTTTCCCGCAGTGGGGGGATCAGGTGACAAATGCTGTTTACATGATTGATGTTTTCAAGACAGGAGTGAGACTTAGCCGTGGAGAGGCGGCTGAGGAGAGGATTGTTCCGAGGCAGAGGCAGGAGATCACTGAGCGACTTCTTGAGGCCACCGTTGGGGAGAAGGCAGTGGAGCTGAGAGAGAACGCTTGGATGTGGAAGAAGGAGGCAGAGGCTTCCGTGGCGTACGGTGGATCATCTGATAGGAACTTTCAAGAGTTTGTGGATAAATTGACTGCTGTAAAGTCTGAAGACAACATCAAACAGAAGTAAGGTCTCGTAAATATCATATTGATACCGGTTAATTACACGATTACAATTTAAAGTTGTTTGTACGATGTTGTTCATTACATTGTATATATGGATCGTATAAAACGTTTTCAAACTATGGTGATAAATGGTATACCACTTGTTCACGTTTTCATATTTTTCTATATTTTACCACTGATAATATTCATCAACTTTTGTATATTTCATTCTTTTGAAAAGTGATTCTACTATATATAACTAGAGTGTTCAAAAGTATAGCTAGCAAAAACAAAAGTGATTAGTAACTAAATTCAGATTTTCAGCGTTATAAAATTATTCCACGAAAACTTGAGTTAAATTCTTTTTGTTAACAGTTTTATTCAATTATTCTGTTATTTTGGTATTCATTTGACATACTAATAACTCGTAGTTTTGGGTAAGTTTCGAATGCTCATGACAATGGATGGAAAAAGACAGAAAAATGCAAAGGAGACTGTTTGATATATACAAAAACGCTTTATAAACTATGTGGTCGCCATAATGTGGATTTGGCTATTTTTGATATAGCTAATAAGCTAAATGTTCCAAGAAGCTTATTCTACCAAATGATTTATGAGGAATTGGAGCAACAGCCAAAAACTTTTTCTTTACCATGTGTAAAGTAAATTTCATTTTCTCTAGCATCATAAAAATTATGTTTAACATGATCATATGCCCCAATTTTTGCATGACACTTGTGAGTTCTAAGTCTTTGCTATAAGACACAATCAATTTTGTTCTTGAAATTAACTATCATCAAAATTAAAATCGGAGGTTTGTCTGCGACTCAAATAAACAACGTCTAGTTGTTCTTTGTTAACTTAATTATCCTGAGATTGCTGTTTGGACCAAGAGAGTTTCTGAAATTTATGGAGTTTTAGCTCACAGCTTCGCGTTATCCATAGAATGCACAATACAGACAAACAAAAAGCACGAGAGGTGATTCATCGCTATAATTAATCGATATAGTATATTTTTGTTAGGGGCGATATAAAAAATAAATGTGCAGATTCATAGTGTATATATAAAAGAACACTTCTAAATCCATCAAAATTAAATAAACTAAATAGGATTGCAATCTTTTATTCAGTACTATCCATTACAATTACAAACGAGATGAAACTGCCGTTTATACAAAGATGAGTATATTAAAAACATGTTAGCTCCAGTTATATTCTAATTTAGGCGTTTCTTTACCATGTGAGAAGTAAATCCCATCTTCTCGAAGATCCCAAAAATTCTGTTTACCATGATCAAATGCGCCACTGCCACATTCGAACGCTCTAATATTTGCCTTGCTCAACGCTCCAAGTTTTTTCGTTATGAAACAATCAATTTTATTCTTGGGAACAAATGGAGCATGAAACATAAAATCGTAGGTTTGTCCAGGGGTCAAATAAACGAAGCCGCCCATTTGTTCTCCGTTGAGTTTACAAGAAATATCGACATTGTCATTTGGATCAAGAGAATTCTTGAAATGTAAGCCGTTTTTAGCAAACAGCTTCGCGTTACCTAACCCAACACACAATGCCATGACAAACAAAAAGCACGAGAAGTGATTCATCGTTTTGATTAATAGATTTGGTATATTTTGTTAGGGGAGAGATGTATCTATTTTTTTTTTTTTGTCAAGTGAGATGTATCTAAATTGAAAGACAAAATGTGCAGATTTATACAGAAAATAATTATGAGGTCATGTTCTTGCATTCAATTTTTAGAGAAATATAAGGAGTAACGCCTAAAAATTTAATTTTTTTGGTACGTTTTAGAAAAAAATAGTCAAGGTTTAACTTTTGTATTTATGAGATGCATCAGTGACGTGTTTGTGTTTCCTTCAATGCAAGCACATTCAGGAAAAGAAAACATAATATTGGTTTCTTAAAATGTGATACGTAATGTAGATATTAAGATTGGTTTTGTTAGAAATAAATCACTAATACATTTTATTGCAGATTTGTAGACGAAATGTGCAGATTCTAGTTAAAAATTAAGAATCCCTTATGGAAATATTCTAATTCGGTAGAGTAATGGTGAATTGGTGGTGATTGAAGTGACTTTTAGTTCGTCATTTTATATGGAGGTAATCTTAATTTTTTTTTTACATTTTAATTAGATTTACACTAAAAAAATGTAAGAAATTAATACAAAATCTCATCTTATTATTTGTTTTTATGGACTTTTCTTTGCTTGTTCTTGTCTTAAAATTATTTATTTTATTAAAAAACCCCTTAATCTAATGGTTGACAAATGGTTCCAGTTCATTAATTCTCTTACATCAAGAAGTCGTTCAAATTATGAAAATGCCAATCTAAAGAGGCCATTTTCCATGGACTTTCCATCATGATGCAAGTAAAGTCCTTCGTCATGTTCCAGTAATCCAGTGTGTCAGGGTAAAAATGTCCCCTTGCTGCCCGATATCACATAGATCTACAAGGTTGGAATGTAAAGTTGGAGTTGGAGAGAGTCCATGTTGATATGAACAGTAGGTTAAGATGGTTGAGTTTAATATCGTTCTTAAAGCTAATGTAGAAAAGAGTGGTAGATATTAATGGGTGTGCTTGATATCGTTTACAATTGTAATTATCTCTTGTGAATTTGCATAGATAAGGTTATCTCGGGCATATAGGTTGGAGAACCGAAACTCGTTACATATATACTATTGGTCTTCTTTTTCTTTGTGCACTTGTTTGTTTGTTTATAATTTCTCATCGCTCGAGCAAGAGGCGGAGGCTGCAGTGGAGTATGATCGATCGCTGATAGGATATTCGGAGAATTTGTGGACAAGTTGGTTGCTATAATAGACATTGACGAACACTGATGATGTCTAGTAAATATCATATTTGAAAAATATTTGATTATAATATTTTTTTATCAAATTTATTTAGTGAAATAGTAGGTTAAATAATAGAATTATCTTATGATTTATGTTCATATAACGACGAGCCCTATGACGTCGGAAGGTGGTCTTTTGGAAAGTGGAGGAGTAGAGGAGAGCAGTTGGCAAGTACTGGAGGTGTCGAATTTGGAATGAGAGAATGGAACTACGGATCTGGTGGAACTAGGTCAAACACCAACGCAAGGAACCTTGGCTGAGGGGAATACAGCGGATCTGGAAGAGGGAGAAATTAACAAAAGTGAATCGGCATCAGACCAGCCGATCAAAACTGTTGAACCAGCGGTGAACAAAGTGGCGAAACCAGCTGCGAAGAGGAGATGACTCATTATGACTTGAAGATTGAGGAGATTGATGGAATGCCCACAGCGGTCATTCCAAAGTAGCGTCTTCAAAAATCCCCCACCGCTGTGGGAGGATTTCATTGTCGGAAAATTCCTTTCTAAGGAACCTTTTGTTGGAAGAGTTCACGCTTTTGTCAACCGAATATGGACTTTGGGAGATAAAACGCTTAAGATTGATGTCATTGTAGTGGATGCTACAACAATGCGGTTTCGTATCAAAGACGCCAGTGCTAGAGCTCGTATATTGAAAAGAGGCATGTGAAATTTATGTGACGTCCTGATGGTTGTAACCAAATGGACGCTGATTGCAGAGAAAGAACAGGCAGAGATGACGTTGATCCTGCTGTGGGTAATTGTGAAACACGTTCCTCCACATTTGTTTTCCTGGAAGGGACTGAGTGCTCTGACAAATCCTCTGGGAAAGCCAAAGAGATTACACCCAAACACAGAGGCATGCCAAAATTTAGAGGAAGCAAAGGTGTTTGTAGAAGTAAACTTAACAAAAAAGTTGCCCAAACAGTTCTGTTTCAAATCAGATGTTGGTCCAGATCATGTCGTTGAGTACGTCTTCCCGTGGCTTTCACCTCGATGTGTTAGTTGTTCCAAATAGGGACATACAGAAAAAGAGTGCTTGGATAGTGTGAAGGAAACCGAACTGATAACAGAGAAGGAGACCACCACACCAGTTACCCAGCAACGACTCACACACGTTACCCCGGGTTCCAAGAACAGGGTATCACCAGTCAAGGAGGTGGAACAATTGACACAAGGAAAGGAAAAGGTGAATGACACACAGTCAGATGACAAGGAATGGTCTACACCCACAAAAACCAGTAGGAGTCCGGGCAAGAAATCAGAGTTAAAGTTTGGAGAATTTTCTATCCTTTCAAATTCAAGGTACACAATTTTGAATGGGAAAGCAGAGAATGGAGAGGGTTTGGAAGGTACTGAAGGAGAAGATGCAGTGGCAAAGGAAAATGAACAGACTGACAATAAAGATGCTGTGGTAGAAGCGATTCCAGAGAAGGAACAGAATAATGAAAAGCACCAAAACCAGACCAGTGATTAGCAAGGAACCCAAGTTGTATCCAAAGAAATTGCAGGTGGTCCACTTCGATAGTCACTACCTCGCAATTCGAAGGATACACACAAATTCCTTGGCCATTCCACAAAGATGAAGGATACAAACACAGGTATCCAAGAGACACGTCACTCTACTAAACACCTTTAATGTCGGGGAATATCAGGGTACTCAACAAAAAAAGTAAACACGTTGTGATCAAGCATTGGATTAGAGGAAATACTTTCGACTTTGGCTGTCTGATCGAAACAAAAATCAAAGAAAAGAAAGCTGAGCAAATATTTATTAAACTGTTCAATAGATGATCTCTTCTATCTAACTATGAAGAACACCGATTGGGGCGACTGTGGATAGTGTGGAAGAGTCATGTCAGAATCACTCCACTTTTTAAATCCTCTCAGCTGATTACGGTCTCGGTTTTGATTGAAGGGAGAGCAGACGAGTTTTTTTATATCTTTCATTTATGCTTCCAATTTCATGGAGGACAGAAAGCAGTTATGGTAAGACATACGGTATCATCACCACTCTCCTATGTTCCGTGACAAGGCTTGGTTGCTCTGCGGAGATTTCAAGGAGTTCTTGGAGGGATCAGAACACTCAACATTTGTGAATAATCCCACCGTACCTCCGGGAATGAGAGATTTTCAAAACTTAGTCAGAGACTGTGAACTCACGGATCTGGTCTATCAAGGACAACGCTTCACCTGGTGTAACAAAAGGACAGAAGGCGTAATCTGTAAAAAATTGGACAGGGTCTTAATCAACAAGGAATGGCTTCAGATGTATGACA